AAAAAACTAGGAGGCAAACCCCACTTCCTTAGACGTACCATTGAGTGGTATGTAACCCCCAGATCCAGTTGAATACAATGTCTTATCCCTAATCTAAGAAATGAAAGTGTGAACCTGTGTCCTCATCCATAGTGATGACTGCCTATCTCTCTAAATAAAGGCTTTCTCTTCCTTTTTATGGGTGAACCATTTGCTTTCTTCCTCCCGATTCTACCCCTTCCTACAGGCCTGATATCTACTTGGTCACTCTCTTTATCCTCTCCTTATTGTCTTATTCCCAACATGCCACCTAAATCAAGAAGTTGTGTTAAAGATCTTATAGAAGATTTACCTTCCACTGACTCTGGATAAAATTATTAGAATTGTGGATTCCTGGGAACTTAAGTGAGTGATATGATTATATTAAATAGTTTACTGGAGGCATGTGACAAATATCTTTGGAATATTGTGTCACTATTGGTCCTTGATTTAAGTTCCACTAAACATGTGAGGTAAATGGTGAGCCAACAGGTGAGCATAAATCCCGAGAAAATATAGATCATAATTTCCCTTGTGTGCTTACAACGAATGTCCAGGAGTTGAAAATACTCTAGGAAATCAGTGATCTGCTCACATTTTTAATAGTTTGAAATAATAAACCTACCCTCAGGGGAAAAAAACTGACAGCTGGTATCTGAAAAAAAATTTAGGGGACCAGAACTTATTTGTAGCATTCTTTAACAACACAACACACAGTAAGTAGTGACAGGATGGTGGTACCCTTGGCACAGAAGTTCAGCACTCTGGAAGGTTATCTAGGAGAGTGAAACAGAATAGTCACTTGGTACCTGTGATATGTTCACATGTACATGCTATATGTAGCTCTAAAAGAGCCCACTGTGTGCAGGTGCATCTGTAATTTTGCTTGGTATCGTATGAGGAAGTAATTTCAGCAATGTCATTAATTATGCTCCTGAACATACTGTAGTTCTGTGTTGATTATGTTCACATTTTTACTTTTTAAAGTAACATGGAACACAAGAATACGATGAGTAAGGGATCCAAAAGCAGAAGTTTCATGCACCGAAAGTTGAAATTTTTCCTTGTGCATGCTCTTGAAGGCTGACTTGTCAGATGGCTGCATGGAGACAGCCATAGTAAGCCTTTATAAGCCTTGGTAAGTATTTGTCCTGGTTTTCCAGGAAGGTTAAACCACCTGTTTCTGAAAGACTAGCTTGGCTGCCTCTTAAGGAGGGAAACATAGGTACAGTGTAGCTGAACATAAGCAAGAATCTGATACAGACTTACTTTTTCTTTAAGGAAAAGTCTGAGAAATGCAAAGTATATAGTAGCTCAATAAAGCAGATTTAGCCGGAGGAGCTACGGGAGCAATGCAGTGACATCAGGTTTACCAGGTCTGAGCAGGCTGCCATAGCTTGTTCTATGTAGTATTTCCTGTAGCTAGAGTTTTCCTGCCTGGCCCACAGTCAGGACAAATCTTCCTCACCCGCCAGTCCCACAGCCGCTCAGACCCAACCAAGTAAACACAGAGACTTATATTGCATACAAACTGTATGGCTGTGGCAGGCTTCTTGCTAACTGTTCTTATAGCTTAAATTAATCCCATTTCCATAAATCTATACCTTGCCATGAGGCTCGTGGCTTACCGGAGTCTTCACATGCTGCTGGTCATGGCAGCGGCTGGCAGTGTCTCCTCTGCCTCAGCCTTCTGCTTCCCAGAATTCTCCTCTCTCCTTGTCCCACCTACTTCCTGCCTGGCCACCTACTTCCTGCCTGTCCACTGGCCAATCAATGTTTTATTTATTGACCAATCAGAGCAATTTGACATACAGACCATCCCACAGCAATTTCCTTTATAATCAATGATAGAAAGACAAAAGAATCTGATTAGACAACTTGATTAAGAAAACTGAACTTTAGGAAGCAATTGTTTTGCTGAATGGGTTTGCAGTCAACCAGGTTTTGTGTGTCTGTGTGTATATACGCACATGTGTGTACATGTTTGAGTGTGTACATCTATGTGTAAGCTCATGCTTGTGGGAGTCAGAGGCCAGCTTCAGGTGTCTTTCCTCAGGATGTCATTCACCTGTCTTTTTCTTGAGATGGGATGTCTTACCAGTCCAGCTAAGTTGTCCAGCCAGTGGCCTCAGGGTCTTCCTCCTTACACCTTTCTAGAGTTGGGGTCATGTGAGAGCAGCATCAGTCCTGGTTTTTGTGTTTGGGCTATGTAACTCACAGAGCTATCTCCATGGCCCTCAGGTTGGGTCTTGCAAGTCAGCTTCTTCACATGTTGGCATTGTAACTGGCCCAATTACTTTTTATTTATCCTTGTATGTTTCTCATGTATTACTTTCATATAGTGTGAACACAAGCACATTTGTCTTAGATAGTTTTATTTTCCTTCCTTTCTGTAGTGTTATTTATATCATTACATCTATTATCATGACAAGATTAGAACTTACCACCACTAAAAAAGTGAACTTTAAGAAAAAAATTCAGGGCCTGGGAAGTTTACTCAGTAGGTAAAAGCACCTATGACTCTTACAGAGCATCTGTATTCAGTTCCCAGCACCCATTTCTGGCAGTTCACAGCCACTTACATAACTTCAGCTCCAGGGGTAACCTGCCATTGATTCTCCATGGGCATCTGCACTCATGTGCACATATTCACACATAATTAAAAACAAGGCTTTTTAAAAGAAAAAAAAAACATTGATTTTTTTTCCTGGTAAGCATGTGAAATGCAGGAGAGGAAGAAGCTGGGGACCCATAGGCATGTTTCTTGTAAGGGCATTGTGAAAAGGTAATATGAAATGTGAAAGACATCCAACATGTTTTCTAGCACATCAGCACTATATAATTATCATTAACCTAAAAATATCTTATCAAATGGGAGACATGAGTCAATTAATGGGATCAGATACATTAATCAGGAAATGACAGAATGATTGGGTGTCTGTGGCTTTAATTTAAAAACCTAACTGCCTTAGATAAATGTAAGATCAGCAGCACAGAGACTCTATTTACCCAAACTAAACAATTCACTATGACCTATGGCTAAATTTGCAGAAATAGTGTTCATGAAAGAAGAATATTAGTTCTATTTTTCCCGTGGTTATCATACAATGACTTCAGCATTGTTCTTGGTAGTAGTGTAAGATTTTAAGGAGGGTAGAGGAAAGGTTTCAAATTAAAGCCTATTTTTTAAAAAGTCTGTTTGATTAGCTCAGGAAGTATCCCATTTTCCATTAAACCTTTCTCAAATTACAGAGATGTGCTTTCATGGTGAGTCTAAATCCAATCAAGTAGAGCATGAAGGTTGACCTTCACAATAGCCACTCACAGTACCTGAGAAGGTGCTGTCAGGATGAGCTAATTAGCCCCCCTTTAAATACAAGCAGTAAGTGTTAGGAAAGTACAGACAACGTCACAAGAACCAAGGAAGTTCTCACACTGATACAGGTGGCTCACTCAGCAACGTGGCCTGGGACTCGATCTTCTGGGTGCCACCATTGATGTGCCCCAGGTCCTTTCTCCCCAGTGTCCTCTGGGGAGAGGAGCAGTTACACAGCTAACAATCAGGTTCACCCTTAGACGGGGCAGGAAGAGAGGCAGACTTCAGAGTGGAGATCCCAGGAGCCGTGTTAAGAATGGACATCCATCACATAGAGACAGCTGACACAGCCTCCCTTTGCTTTCTCTTCAGCCTCTTTTGAAGCACAACGCGACAGAAAATTTTCTAAAAAAAAAAAAAAAAAAAAAAAATTTAAAAAAAAAAAAAAAAAAAAAAAAGCTTTGTTGACATCCTTCATCCTTCTCCATCTTTTCCAGTTCATTCTTCTAAACATGTCACATGACAATTGCTCTTGATCTAGACTTAAGTTGGAGCAGAACGAAATACACTTTACTCTTTGCCTTTTCTCTGAAATTAATGGTTAATGTGATACATCTCCAAAGGAGGGAGATTCTAAAGTCTTGTGAGGGGATAATTGTGCAGTCATCAATTCATGTAAAAACTTGGAAGACATAGGCAAGACCCTTTCTACATGACATTTTAGAAAGTATTTAATACTTAGCAATTTATTAATATAAAAAGCAAACTGTGGCAAGCTGAAATGATCTGTGTTACTTAGATCTGTCAATACATGGACATGGAAAAACAAACAAAAATGTATAATGTAAATATATAGTATAAACATTTAAATATATTACAAACATTAAAATATATTTTATATAAATATATAGTGTATATAAAGTATAAATAATATATTTAAAATATATCATATATAATATATCTAAAGTATAAATAAACATATGTATGTGTGTATAAACATTTAAAACACTATTGATGATACCTATTACCTTAAAACCTTTAAACACTGTAATTTGGGAGCTCAGAGGTTGCTATACTTGTTGGTAAAAGAAGCATAGTAAATGTTTTCAACCTGGAGGCCACGCAGTGTCCTTTGTAATTACTTAATTGTACCATGTGGTAGCAAAACAGTCGTTAACTATACAGACATTAAGGAACAGTATGTAGACGTGTTCCTGTTCAATTTTTGATAACTAGATGATACATAGGATTTGACACTTGGCTGCAGTGTGTAACTAATTATGTGTCTGTATTTTTGTTGTTAGGGATTCAGACTTTACTTTGAGGTCCATCTCCAGCAATCTGGCCCACGTACTGCAGGCCACCACATGCCTCTTATGTCCCCCATTCCCACACCCTCCGTCATTTTATAAGACTCTACTGTAGGTCTCTCTTTTTTCTTTTTACTTCAGTTTCAGATTAGGATGGACATAGTTTAGGACCTGAGGCACATGCCTATGATTCCAGCTGGTCAGGAAGCTGTGGTAGAAAGATCACATGTTCAAGGCCTGCCTGAACTCCAGAGTGAGTTCAAGTCCAGCTCAGGCACTCTATGAGATCATCTCAAAATCAAAAATAGAAAGAGAACTGCAGGTGTAGAGCTCACAGCTAGTTTTCTTCCCAAGTGTGCACAAGGCTGTGGAGTCAATACCCATACAACATTAGTAATAATAATACTAATACAACTTAAGTAATTAGAAGTTTTAGTAAGAAAATAAGTTTTATAGAATTCTAGATACAGCTTTCAGTTTAGTAGGTGCAAACTTACCAAATAAATGCAAAACTATCTATTTTATGTGGCACTCACTGTAACCCTTTTCAGCTGATGAGAATGTGACATTTTGATTTTGGGCATTCCTTACTTCATCATAAACATTGGGGAAAATGACATCATTTTCTGTTTACTATTTGCTATCTCTATATTTATAGCTATTAATAAAAAAAACTCACCAAGACAAAAAGAATCCAGTAAACAACATCCCCGCCTCCCTCTCCCTTTAGTAGGTGGATATCCAAGAATCAACCCACATGACTAGAGCTTTTTAGGTTTATGTGAACTTAAGGAATAAGTCTGATTTTTTTCACTGAAAGGACACATTACATATCTACCAGTCACACTATTTTCATGAATTTTGACATAATATATAAAGTTTTATCATCATTTGTTGTTTTAGTTATTTTTTTCTTTTAGCCAAATATACATAAAATAAAACTATATTATATAATCTCAGTGTAAATGGAAAATTGATTTAATTTATAGAGAAAATAATTAAAAGCATTAATATAAAATGTGCATTTGACCTGACTTAGTTTCTTTGCTCCCAGGAGCAAATACTTTGTTACTTAAAATATTTGATGGAGGAGTCTGTTTCCTATCTACTTGTTAAGTCCTAATTAATAAAGCAACCAACTGTGAATCAGCCAAACCTAAGACTTCACTCCTTCATTTCTCTTATCAACAGACTCCTAAAACAGCCAGGCCCACCTCTAGACTCCCTGCCTACAAAGATGGCTGCAGCTAAACTGACCTCAGACGCTGCATCCTTCTTGTCTTGTAACCTTGGAGAAATTTGTACCCAAGTCAAGTACCACTAAAATTTCCATGAAAAGAACTTCCTGAAAAGCCATGTATGCTGGTCAGTTTTTTTTATCCACTTGACAGATGCTAGCATCATCTAGGAAAAGGAACACCAATTGGGAAAATGCCTCCATCAGAATGGATTGTATGCAAGTCTTTAGGGGAACCTTCTTAATAAATTATTGATGTAGGCGGGCTCAGGCCACTGTAGACTCCCTGGCTCTTAGCAACTAGTCATTGACTGGGTAGAAAAACAAGCCGAGCGAGCCAGGAGCCATCCGTGAGCAGCACTCCTCGACTGTCTTCATTTCAGTTCCTGCCTTAAGCTTCTGCCTTGGCCTCCCTTAATGGTGGACTGTAGCATGGAAGTGCAAACCAAAGTAGCCCTTTCCACCATAGGTGCTTTTGGTCAGAAAGATTTGTGGCAGACACAGAAACCCTGACTAGGACAACAGCATATTACTTTTCAAGAGACACATGAATTTTAGAGTTGATTTCCTTTAGCATATTAAGTTCTAAAAAATGCTATTTTTAATCATTTTGCTCAAGTTGCCTATCAGCAAAATTTAATGTCTAGAAAACGTATTTGGTTTTTGTTGTTAGGATTAGTACCCATATAGTCATACATAAAAAGTCATAGTGACTTTCTCTTTGTTTTCACTTCTGTTAAAAATCCCAGGCTTTATTTGGAATTATGTAGTAGCTTTGGTCTAAAACCTTTGATAGTTCTATATACAATTTAAAATTGTGTTTAAGTGGATCAAACTATTATTTTTTTATGGAAATGTTGGCCTAATTGTCCGTTTTTCCTTAAAAGTTGACATAATTACTAAATTATGAAAGGTGAAAGACATAAATATTAATTCTGTTATCGCAATAGATGATGCTGGATCTTCACATTCTGCTTGCCTTTGAAGACTTCACGAAACACAGAAAACTGGCTCGCTTGGTCCCATACAGAAGTTGTCCTTCTACATTGGGGCCTGTCCAGTTGGCAGTGTGGGACCAGCAGCTTATCCCCTCCACCAGCTGCCATTTCCACAGCTCTGAAGGATTATGGAGGTCATACTCTCCGTCTGTCTCCTTTTGAATGAACCGAACTACTGTGGGAATAAATTAAACACCCAAAACCAAGTGCTGAAATTACAGGCAGTGTTGTTTTCATTTGATGGCTCCACTAAACTCCTTGAGGAGCTGTTAGACCCCTACATGACTGTCTACTTCACTCAGCCAGGAGCAAGAGAGCAGTCTTATGGGCCGATTCCATTCCCAAATTTAGTTCAAGCTCTGTTGATACTGATCTCACCTCCATAACACTGACCTGGACTTAAAGCATGAGTTCAAGGCTAGCCTGGCAGCTTAGTGAAGATGTCACAAAGTAAAAAATAAAATAGCCCTGGACTCAGTCTCCAGTGCTCCTCAAACCCCCACAATGGTGATTATAGCTCCAAGTATTGCATAAACAGTATCTGTAACTCTAGCAACAGTCAAGCAAAAAAGATAACTGTGTATGTTTTCTGATAAAGAAAGAGACTATGATATTAAAAGGTGTGAAAGAAAATTGTGTCAGGTTGAACTTCAGTCAGTATCATTGCTAACATTGCCATGCCACCCAATAGACTTCCCCCTTTTCTCCATTTCTGTAGACTCCAGAATCTATTTTTCTGCCCATGCCATAACGTCAGATCCTAGTTAGCAGCAGAAATTCCATTTTGTCCCAGTCTGCCATTCTGCCCGGAGCTGCTACCCACAATTTCCTGAGGCTACAGCCCCCAAGCCCCTCACACAGGTGTAAGCCACAAATGTTCCACCTCCTTTCCGATTGGTTGGCCCAGAGCTTGGTCTGACCACCAAATCACAGAACTCCTTGACAGGCTAGAAGTGTGTCACTGTGGAAAGTCTCCAACTACTTCTCCCTGTATTATATTATGACTGGATGGGGCTCTGGAGCTGTTTCTCTGTGGTTTTCCCTTTAAAACTGCCTGCAGCCCCTACCTTGAGGACGCAGTTTGGAACACGAACCCTGCTGCCTCCCTGGTTTCAGTTTTTCTAAATAAATTTTTGCATTACTCGAATCTGGTCTTTTGTGGTGGATTATTTCTGGATTCTCAGATCCTAACAACAGAACTTTTCTCTAGTCTGTATTTTTTGGAACTTCCTAGGAAATTGGACTTTGTTTACCTATTGAAACCACGGTTCTATAAGGTATTCTATAGACCCCTAAGGCTCTACTTGGATTTATGAATAAATTCCTTGTTCTCCTAGACAACATCTCAGGTCTCTCCTTCATCAGGCTTCTCATTGTGGCCTCTTCTAGTGCTCTGAGGATGACGGTAGTGGACTGCTGCCTGGCAGACAATGGGTAACAACGCCCCCCCCCACACACACACCTTAATGTGTGTTTCTATAACTTGGATAGCCCAGTGTTGTTGAAGTTTTGATTGTTGTTGTTTCAATTTTATGTATTTATATTTTATGTATGAGTGCTCTGCATATACACCTGCACACCAGAAAAGGGCACCTGATTTCACCATAGATGGTTGTGAGTACCATGTGGGTGCTGGGAATTGAACCCAGCACCTCTGGAAGGGCAGCTAGTGCTCTTCGCTCATCTCTCCATGCTTGATTGTTGTTGTTTTTAACATTGAGACCTTATATAAATCTGAATGATAACTGAAGCGAAAAGGTCACTTACTGAGATGATTCCATTTATAGGAAACATCTATAATAGATAAATCCACAGACCTAGAAAGCAGTCATTTTGCTTCTGTGCTGCTGTGAGTGGGGAGCAGCTGCTTGGCCGTTACAGACTCATTTTTGAGGGATGGGCATGTTTTGCAGGGAGGTGGGAGTAGTGGCTGCACAACACTGTGCGTCCTGTTCCCACCAGAGCATGCTAACACAGTTCCCCGCCGGTGGACGCTAACACAGTTCATTTATCCTGGACAAACCCACTTGAACAAATAAGTTAGTGAGACCGTTTCGGATGCCTTGTTATTTAGCAGACCCGTCTGTCATTCTCACCAGAAAACTGTCATCTAGAGTCAAGGGCTCTCTTCCCCTTTCAGTCAGATCTACTTCAGAACCCCAGCAGTGCCCACACTCTGGATAGTTTCTGTGACTCTCAGATGAAGAACCAGGTCCAAGTTGCAGTGTGTCTAAACTGTTGACTTCCCTGGAGCCAGAAGCGTTTCCTATGTTACACAGACAGACTTTCTGAGTGTTGTGTGCACTTCAGGAAAGACAGAGGGCTCAACAGAGGAAGAATGAACTGTATTTTCTTCCTAGTAAAGAAAGATATTCTTTAATATTCCATGTGTTGAACCAATGTCAAGTGGGAGTATCAGCCCTCTGCCTACCTCTATGGATGTTTGTGCAGGAGATCCCTCACTCAGAACGATATCTTAACAGCCACATCTAACGACCCCAGATTAGAGAAGGCAGAGTGGGGTCAAGGTCATGTATGTAGTGATACCAAGGAGATATATATGGTGGCAAACAATAGCAAAATGTAAATATTCTCTCCTATTGTCCCTGTGATATTCTCCACGGTGACAAGAAAATGCTGGTTCCCTCCTCTGGACAGCGTATCTGAAAACAACTAGGGTCAATGTAAGTATTTTACTCCTCTAACGATCTCTGTCCTTGGAGAATTGTGAAGAATTTAATCTTGCTCCCCAAATAAATGTGGCCTTGACCTTAGTTTCAGGGCACTCTTTGCAATGTCAAGCTTGATTGGGGGTTGCTTGCCTGATGATTGGTTCACTGGATAGCTTAACACATCCAGATGGGATCTGTGTGACATTTGAACATACCAGATTAACCACAAAGGTTCCCTAGGGTAGAGGACTTTGCATCACCCTGTGTCCAACAGCCTGGAGACTTAAAGTAGTTATATGGGCGAGGGGACTGCCAGCTCCCTCAGTATAAAAGAGCCTCACTAAAAACTCCTAACGGTGAGGTTGGAACAGATTTCCCTGGTTGGCAATACTCCACTCATCCATTTCAGAAATGCAATGCATCTAGAATCCATGGAGACAAACTCCATGTTTGGCATTTCCCTGGACTCTTTCCAGTGTGCTGTTAAAAACACCATATATATATATGTATATTCCTTATGATAAATCACAATTTTGAGTACAACAGCTTTTAGTGTGTTCCAAGTCCCAGGAAATTAATGAATCTAAGTGCACTTTTTGGGTCCCCATAAACTTAGTATAAGAAGTAAATGTAGGTTTGTAAGCATAGATGCATAAACTCACAACCTCACCCCTAAATTTTCTTTAATACACATGTGCATATGTCCATATCAAATCTTGATTATGTCACAGTAGTAAATATGTGGGAACAAGTTTTACCTCCTTGCTTATCTGCTTTTGAGTTGTGTTAAATTTTTCTGACTATGCATGTATTTTTTAAAATATTAGGAACATTAAAAAATTTAAAGTCTCATCATTTCAGCTTTACCCACATTAAAGAAGCAAAGGAAATTATGGAAGAGGGAAATGATTTACAGTGATACAAGAAACAGTGAATTTGGAAGCCAGTTACAGAAGTACATAATTAGAGTAAAATTAGACACTATACATTATAATTTATTTTAATCCTTGGAAATATTTTAAAGATGTCTATTGAGTCAAGTATATAATATATCTAATTTTAATAGCAACTGGTTGTTTAAACTGTAATTATACTTTAAAAGGAAAACATCGTCATTTCTGTAAGTATGTATGCTGAGTCATAATTTTTTTTTTTTTTGGTTTTTCAAGACAGGGTTTCTCTGTGTAGCTTTGTGGAACTTGCTTTGTAGACCAGGCTGGCTTCGAACTCAAAGAGATCCGCCTGCCTCTGCCTCCCGAGTGCTGGGAATAATTTTTTGTTATACAAACCACATCATAGAACTATTTGAATAAAGCACTGGAATTTTAGGATTTCCTACCTATGCACATCGTAGACAAAATCAAACTCTTCTGTTAGCAAGAAAACCCCCAAATTCCACTAAATACCAATATGGAAGAAACAAGAGAAGAGTAAATACAGTCTCTACCACTTGACAGGAAATGCATGGAAGTGTGGCTTTTGGACACGGGCAGTTTTCTCTGTGGTCTCAGGCAGCTTTCACATTAACAAGTTGGTTTCATAGTGCAAGTGTCCTGGGTTGCTTTCTGTTCTGTGATAAACACCGTGGCCAACACAGTTTAGGGAGGAAGAGGTTTTTTTTGGCTTACACTTCCATGCTCCGGTCTGTCATTGAGGGGAGTCAGGGCAGGAACAAGATCTGAAGCAGGAACCCAGAGGAACATGCTGACTGGCTCACCCCCAATGGCTTGCTCACTTGCTTTCTTGTACAACCCAGGGCCACTTGTCCAGGGAAGGCATTGGCCATAGTTGGTCAGAGTTCCTACGTCAACCATTATTTCCTCACAGATGTGCTCACAGGCTGATATGATGAAGGCACTTCTTCAGTTGGGGTTCCCCTGTCCTAGATGACTCTAGCCATATTGACAAAGACTATCACAGCAGGCAACCATGACCCATGACGGAGAAACTTCAAAAGCAGGAGCGAGGAGAGTGGGGTTTTTCACACTTGGCTATCTCCTCAACAAGTGATGCCCTTTGTATTAATTAATGCCGTTCTGATTATACCATGCGTGTATATGATACATGCTGATCACTCCGACCCTGTCTTCTTCTAACTGCACCCCCAAATCCTGTCTACCCTGTACTTCCCTATAGATCTTTCCTTCACATTTCTGTCTATTTGTTTTGTTTTGTGACCTATTGAGTTTAGCCGGGATAGGATGAGTGACAATGGATTTGGAGCTACTCATTGGAGCCTTCTTGGTTTAGCTTTGGGTCCACAGTGGTTTTTCCTCACTGGGGATCTGTCAAGGTCAGTAATTCATCAGTAAGGAGTAGGACCCCATTTTCCCTTCCCCCATATATGACTGATTGTTGACAAAACCAGATTTATGCAGACTCCATACAAGTAACTGCAGCCACTCTGAGTTCATGATTTCAATAGTTACACTGTGCTTAGAGTATGGAATTTGTAGCCCTTCTACCTATTTTATAGCTGGCTGTTATAGTCTTCTTACCCTCTCTTCCACAATGTTCCTTGAGCATTAGAGAGGCTAATATAAACAACCGTCTTGTTTAAGGCTAGGTCCTCCACCCTCACTTATTCTCAGCATCTTGGGCAACTATGAGTTTCAGCATTCACCACTATTCACTTCAAAGAGAGGCTTTTATGATCAAAGCTGAGTGTAGCTTTTGCCTATGAGTGTAATTATAAATATTTGGAGGTTAGTTTAATGCTATTTCAGTTTAATTAAACAGTGATAATAAGTTCACCCTTAGGACTATGGCTTTTCCAGGCATGAGTTATTACCAAGAAGCATAGTACCAAGCATGGACTCCCTCATGTGAAAGCAGGATTCTGTTGTTGTTTTTAGCTCTTTTTTGGGGGGGGCACAGCACCCAGCTCTCAAATAAATCACACACAGAGGTTTATTTTTAATTATAAATGTCTGGCCTTAGCTTGGCTTATTTCTTGCCAGCTTTTCTTAACTAATTATCTTGTCTAGCTTTTGCCTCTGGTCTTTTACTTTTCTCTATTTCTGTATATATTTCCTTATTTCTTACTCCATTTCTAGTTGTGTAGCTGGGTGGCTGGCCCTTGCATCCTCCTCCTTCTCTCATTCTTTTTATTCTTTCTCCCCAGTTTTCTCCTTCTATATATTCTCTCTGGCTGCCAGCCCCACTTATCCTTTCTTCCACCTTGCTACTGGTCATTCAGCTCTTTATTAGACCATCAGGTGTTTTAGACAGGCACAGTAACACAGCTTCACAGAGTTAAACAAATGCAACATAAACAAAAATAACACACCTTAAAATAATATTCTACCACAGGCTTCAAATCCAATCAGAGAAGAGTTGGTTGGCCTCTTAACAGACATGGCTCAGGACACACACCTGCCAGGCAAAGATAAGTTTGTAGTTGATAAGGTTTACAGCTGAGTTGGACTGTTGATGATTTTGTTATTTACATTTTGCTTTTTGGAGCTTTAAAAGCCAAGTAGGAAGATTTCAGGTCACTTCCAACTTACTTTATCTAGATCGTCATACTGAGGTGTCTTCAGCAAAGGAGAATTATCCTCTAATTCTGGTGAGAAAGGAAGAGAACTGAAAAGACCTTGTATGGACCTAACTGACCAACAAACCATTGTTGCGGGAGGTTTGTCTGTGTTGCTGCTCCAAGGCTGCTAATGGTTCGAAGGGCAGAGTCTATACTAAGCTGGCTGGAGTGGACCGTAGTTTTCTGGCTGACTGAGAGGAAGCTAGAGTGACACATAGAGGAGCAAGAAGGAGGGGCCTGACGGGGGAGATGTATGATTTTTTTCTAGTGGGGAAGGTGGCGAAGAGAGCGGGTGATCATTTCTCTGTCTTCTGTGGATCTCTCAGGTTTATTTCTGTAATATTTAACTCCTGAGTTTTGTTTTTTAATAAACAATAAAAGAAGTAGCAATAACCCATACAAAGATATACAACATCTGGCACAGAACATTTTGTTTAGTAACTCTCTTATGCTAGGAGTAGCATTATCTAGTCATACAGGGCATCGTCCTTCAATTTTGCTTTTTGTACTTTTTAGCAGGTGTATACAAGAAAGAATGTTTCCACATGGCTTTTCCATGTACCACTCATTTTATTTGGCTTTTTCCACCCACTTCTGCTCGAGCTGTGGTCTCCCAGTGTCTCCCGCTCTATTTCCCAATTACCTGTGTTCTACTCTCCACACAGAGAAGGCACCTCTTCAGTGTTCCCTTCTTAGTTTCCTGGATTCCAGAGGTGCTCCAGGTTAAACAACAACAAAAATCTGAAGAGTCAAAGCTAGGGCCACTGTATGAGCAAAAACATGTGACATTTGTCCTTCTAAGTTGCTTCAATCGTATAATTTTCTCCAGATCTCTCCATTTACCTGCAAATTTCTTCTCTCAATTAAAAAATTTTCTTTCTAGAATTTCATATATAGGTGCTATATTCACATCATTTCTCTCCTCTTTCCCTTCCTTTCAATTCATCCTTGCTTCCCCACTCTCTCTCAAATTCATGTCCTCTTTTTCTTTATTAAATATGTATGAATATATACATATTTGAATATGCATATGTACAAAAATAAAAATGTAACCTTCTGAGTGCAATAGTTTTGCTATGATTTCAGCAATGACCACTTGGCATTAGATAATCAGGAAGCTTTTCCTTGGGGAAGACTATTTCTCCCTTTCAGCAGTCATTAATTGCCTGTCACCTTCCCTTCATCTGTAGGTAAGACCTGGTGTGTCCATTAATGTTGTCATTGTTCAGGTCATGTTTAGGCAGACATATTATTGAGATTTCTTGGGTGCAGTTTTCCTGTCATATACAGAAAACTTAACCTTGCAACAGCTGTCCTGGTCCTCTGGCCTTTCATGGTACTTCCTGAACCCTGGAGGTGTAGGGTTGTGTTGTAGACGTTGTCATTGAGGCTAGGAACGTATTGGTCAGTTCTCTGCATTTTTACCAGTTGTTGATTTCTGTAATGGTCTCTGATTGTTGAAAAAAAGAAGCTTCTTTGATAAGGAGCCAAGAACTACACTTTCTGCAAATTTCACGTTTCTTCAGAACTGATTAAATTTTGTGTTGTATATGTTCTGCATTTTCATTACTTATTTACTTGTTGATAGACTGCTTCCATTTCTTAGCTATTGTGAATACGGGCATGTGAATATCTTTGTAACCTACTATAAAGTCCTTTAATCGTATGCCCAGGAGTATAGCTGAGTCATATACTAGTTTTATTTTTAGGGTTTTTTTTTGGTTTGTTGTTGTTTGTTTGTTTGTTTGTTTTTGAGATGGAGTTTCTCTGTATAGCCTTGACTGTCCTGGAACTCACTCTGTACACCAGGCTGGACGCAAACTCAGAGATTTGCCTGCCTCTGCCGCCTGAGTGTTGGGATTAAAGGCATGCAACACCACTAATCAGCCATTTCTAGGTTTTGGAGGAACCTCTAGACTGATTTCCAATGTAGCTTCACTAGTTTACACTCTTACAAACAATGTACTGGGTTTCTTTTTCATCACCTATGTGCCAGCATTTGTCATTTGTATTCTTGGTGACGGCCATTCTGACTGGGGTGAGATGAAACCTTAAAGGAATTTTAATCTGCATTGCCATAATGGTCAAGGATGTGGAACACCTCTTAAAAAGTATTTCCAACCCATTAAAAGGATACTGAAATTCTAAACATAAACTCAAAAATGAACAGATTTCACAAAACTAATAATCCACACAGATTAACCACAGCACATAATTACTTGGTGATTTTAAGTCCTCATTATCACTAATGATTGTACATAGACAGATAATACAAAATGAAACAGAAATAATAAAATTAAATGACACCATAAGCCAGATGGACCTAAAAGACACCTATGGAATAGTCCACCCAAATGCTGCAGGGAACACGTTCTTCTCAGCAGCCCACAGAACTTTCCTCAAAATAGACTGCATGTCAGGACAAGAAGCAAACTATATGAAAACTGAAATAACCTCCTCTGTTCTGTTTCACCACTATGGAATAAAGCTGGGTATCAAGAAGAGAAACTATAGAGAGCACACAAATTTATGGAGATTAAACAACACATTGCTGAAAAATGAATGTGTCACTGAAGAAACTTTAAAGAAAATTAAAAAAGAAAATCTATGGTATACAGTGCAGTGAGTCCTCAGGGGAAGTCTATATTGCTAAGCACTTAGAAAAATAATCATAAAGACCTCAAATAACTAACAATTATATTCTTTAAGGCCTTGAAAAAATAAGAACAAATCCAATCCCCAAAAGCAGTTGATGGGGAGAAAGAATGTACTGTTATGGAGCAAGGCAGCCGCAGAGAGCAGATGACGTCGAGTCCCAGCAAAGGTGTATTTATGGATGCCGAAGTGTGGGTGTCAGGTGCAATACAATAGAACTATTCTTTTGGTTGTGTCCCTAACTGCTTAGGAAGAACTCCTCTTCCCACGCAGACAGGCAGTGGCATGGTTTGGGCCCTGAGCAGGCCTTTATCCACTCTCGAATGGGACTGTTGTCCAGTGTGAGGGAGGATTGATTACTCAGAAAACAAAACTTCATTCCCAGATAGCACAAGGCACACGAAGAGCAAGGCATAGATGCTTGATACCAAGATGAAAGGCGCATTGTTCTTGTTTAAAGAATACAAAAGATGCTTAGGAAAGAATACCAGCCCCTTAGACTGCTGTGGCCAGCGTTTGTAAGACTGAGAAAACCAAATATATAGGGCACACA